ATTGTATTTCTCCTTGTTTGTTTTCCCAGGCAATCTCAGACATGTCCTTCCTTTCATTCCTTCCCCATTCTTCACGTCTCTCTAATACTGCTGGCAGTTTGGGAAACCTGCACACATGCACATTTTCTGCCTAATCCACTCCATCAGTCAATCCAAATATCAGCACTCTCAACTCCACCTGAAACCTATGACCAGAGGGAGGATTTCAGCATGTGTTAAAACAAGGATCCCATCTGCACTTGGGTCCTTATTCTGATTTATAGGTGCAAACACTTGTGGGGAGGGGAAGGAGAAACTGAGGCAACATACTGTCCTCCACACACACTTTTTAATATCCTAGTGATGTCCCTTTCAGAGCAGCCACAGGTCCCCTGCATTCTCACAGCTATGCGTAGCTGTAAAGTAAAGGAGAGGGAGAGACTGGAAAACGGCAACAGAAGGCTCTAGCAAGCAGATATGAGATTAAGAGGTAGCTATTATAAGAATGGGGGAAAAATTCCAGTTAGGAGTTGAGGGTGCTCACACCTTGCCAAATCAGACTCCATAAGTGCTTGTAACTGCACCAATGGTTCAGTAATCCCTTTAGAGAAAACATCCCCATTGGGCTGCTAACCCTTGTGTGCTCAGCAATCTCTGTAGCTGAAAAACTGCCATATGGACTCTGCATTTCCTGTGTTTTCAGAACTCGCCAGCCTCCCTTGTAAGCTTATTCTGGGGCTAACCGGGGGGGCCCACTTGATCCACGGTGGAGGTCAGAGTAGCCTCAGGGTTGTTCTTATTTATGATTGGTCTGCCCATGGCCCTCTAGGAACTCTGGGCGTAGGTCTACACTGCAATTAAAAATTCACAGCTGGCCCATGCCAGCTGACTTGGGCTCACAGGGCTCAGGCTAAGAGGCTGTTTTGTTGCAGTGTAGATGTTTGGGCTCTGCAGCCTGGGCTCTAGGACCCTGCAAGGGGGGAGGCCGAGCTCTAACACCTGCACCTCAGTTAAACAGCCCAAGTCAGCTCGCATCGGCCAGCCATGGGTGTCATATCCCCACAATGGGGGCTGCGAGGGAAGGTGTCATAGAGCCATTCTGTCAGCTCCATGCCAATCAGGAACCTCCCCCCCATATCCAGAGTATTCCCCAGGAGCCACAGAGAGGAGAATTAGAACCCCATCTATGCGGATAATTATATATAGTGTAGTCACAGCATTTAAGAGCAGGAGTAGTAGGAGTGGCTGGCTGTGGAGGGAATGCACCGGCTGTGGGGGAATGCACAGTAAGAGGAGATCCTGCCAGCGTTCACAGATATAAGGAGAAAGCGTTTCTCCAAAAGTGATCACATTCAAATTCCCTGAGCCAGGCGCTACAACTGAGCCTGCTGTGAGGGAGTTTGATCTAGTGTCATATCTCTTCCTGTAGCTGTCATTTTAATGACTCCTGAGTGCTGTATGAACCCAGGAGTTCTTGTGGGAGTGAGAGGTAGAAATATCCATTTTAACTGAAATGCTTAAATGAAATCCCTCCAGCTTTAAGGGTGTGAGACAAAGCTCTAGAGACGGACAGGAGGTGAGCTATTTTCAGCCACACGTCGGTGAGAGATCCATGGTACATGGGGGGGGGGCAGAGAGGGTGAGATTGACGTGACACATGTGAGGGACAACTCTGGCCCCTTACCAAAAGCAGAATCAAATACCTAATCATAGGCAGCATAGCAGCTGAGAGTGCAGAAGAGCAGGGAGGGCTGGGCTCATCGGTCTGAACTCTCCTCTCATGTGTCTGAGCTTGAGGGAGAAAGTGAGGAGAGGGCTTTTTGGGGGACTCCAGAGGAGGTGGATGCCATTTGTGGAGATGGAAGGGGGAGCTGCCACCCTGTAAGAGCTGGGGTTTTGCTTTGAAGAGTGGAAGAGGTTATCAGAGAAGGAAAGAAACCAAAAGTGCTGAAGTCATGGGAGCTGAAGAGGAGGTGCTGGTCATGCTGTCTGGAGGGGCCCCCTGGGGCTTCAGGCTGCAAGGGGGCTCTGAGCAGAAAAGACCTCTTCAGGTGTCAAAGGTAGGACTGGAGGATGTTAACTGTCCAGAGCAAGGCTATGCAGTTGATCCCAGATATGATAGGAGAGTCAGGCATCTCCCACTGTCATTAAGTAATGCTCTATTAACCTAGTGGATCTGAAAGGAGATCTTGGGTGGGATGGTCTGGCAGTGCCCAGGGAAGGGTGAGGTTTCTGAAATGTGTGTTACTGAGCTGGAAATAGACTGGCTTCTGGCAGGCGAGGATCTCTTTCTTCCACTGATGCCCATCACTGCTCCCATCACAAGCAGAACCTAGATAATCCAGGTTTCAGAGTAACAGCCGTGTTAGTCTGTATCCGCAAAAAGAAGAACAGGAGTACTTGTGGCACCTTA